TATTTGCCTCTGTGAAGAACTGTGTTCTGGTTCACGTGTGGCACTGCTCATTGTGTTCCTGTGGGATAGAGAGGACAAGGCAGCTCTCTAGTGACTCTTTTACAAGGGCACTGTCTTAGTTAGGGGTTTACTGCTATGAACACCAGGACCAAGACAAGTTTTATACAGACAGCATTTAATTGGGGGCTGGCTTATAGGTTCAGTCCATTATCATCAAGGTGGGAGCATGGCAGAGTCCAGGCAGGCATGGTACAGGAGAAGCTGAAAGCTCTACATCTTCATCTGAAGGCTGCTAGGAGAAGACTTGCATCCAGTCAGCTAGGATGAGGGTATTAAAGCCCAAGCCCAAAGTGGCATACCTACTCCAAGGCCACACCTACTCCAACAAGGCCACACCTCCTAGTAGTGCCACTCCCTGGGCCAAGCATATACAAATCACTACAGGCAGGCACTATTATAGCTTGAAAGTAACACCTTCCCCAAACAGGCTCATGTGTTTGAATACATGGTCCCCAGCTGGTGGCACTGTTTTAGAAGATCGTAAAACTTTAGGGCCTTGGTGATTGTAAAACTTTAGGAGCTAGGGCCTTGCTGGCCTTCAGAGTTATAATCTAGTTCAGCTAAAATGGCCTGAGCGCCCTTTCTTTCTCTCTCTCTCTCTCTCTCTCTCTCTCTCTCTCTCTCTCTCTCTCTCTCTCACACACACACACACACACACCACACACATACATCACACATTCTGCTTTCTAGTGGTCCAGATGTAAAGCCATATCACAAGTTTCAGAGCTCCAGCCTCTCTACCATGACTGTATCCCCATAAATTATAAACCAAAGTAAACCCTTCTCCCTATCAGGTATTTTTGTCACAGCAAGAAAAAAAAGTCACTAACAAGGCACTAGTCATACTAGCTCCGCCCTCCAGCCTCATTGCTCCCAGAGGCTTCAATGTCCTAATACCACTCCCATTGGGAGAAAAGAGTCCAACCTGTGGAACTAGGCCATTGCCTGTCATCTGCTGCACACAGGATTTTCTCTGTGTCTCTCCCTGCAAAACAACTCTGAACTCTAGGGTGAGACCTGTTTCTATGTTTTTTATATCATTGTTGCTTACCGGAGGACATAAAATAAAACACTGATAAAGGTGGAATAAAAGGAAAGCTAAGTAGGGAAAGGGGGCACATTTATGAATGTCCCTTCCTGTCTTGCCTCACTGCTGCGTCCCTCCTGGAGCAGAATGAGCTCAGGACTCAGGTTAATACCAAGAAGCAGTGGGAGTTGTCATTTCTGAGCCCTTGGCATGCAGACCCATAAACAAGGGAAACGTCCTGGCTGGGAGCTTAGGAGCAAATTCTACCCAGCTTCAAAGGCTATGATCACAAGAATCACACACCTGGAGACCAGCTGCAGGGAAGCAAAATCTTATTTAAACAAATAACGAAGAGCGAGACTGAATAGGAATCCCTTCACTTATTCAAAGTTTGGAGACTGTAAGCTTTTCAGAGATGCTGTTTAGGCTGGACCAACTGAAAACATGTTTTCGTTCCAATTGCCAAGATAATATGAGACTTTCCCGATGGCAGAGCTGAAGCCTAGCTGTCAAGGCCATGTGGTACCATGGTGGGTAAAAGAGGAGGCAAAGACTCTAGGGACTGGGAATAATTTCTAGGTCCTTCCAGAAAACAATTGCCCAAAGGGCAGGCACAGTCCAGAGCCTCCCACTCCCTTTATGGTGCAGCGTTAGCCTGTGGACCAGCTCAGCTGCTTGTAACAGATGAGAGCTTTGTTCTCAGACCCATTTTCACGCTCTCTTTGGTGAATAAAATAACTCCCCTGCTCAGAAGGAAAAGGTGTCACCCCTGAAAGAAAGCAGACTTCCTAACTAAGGAAGAGCCAAGCATGCAAAGGCATTCTTTTTTGTCCCAAATAGTTTTCAAACTCTCCGAAGTCTTACCTAGAAGTTAGATGGATCATCATCAGTAGCATTTCAGAGGTACAGGAAAAGGTTAAGACTTACCTGGAAGATTATAAGGTACCCAGATATAAACAGTTTCTGGAATCCAACAGAACCCTTTCTTCCTCCCCGGTCCAGCCTCATCCCTCAAACCCACAGAGGTAGGGAGGTACCCAGGGATGGGGTTGTCCAACAACCCAGCACAACACACAGCTGAGATAGCTAGAACTGCAGAATCGTCACTTACTTAGAGCATTGGTTTTTTGTTGTTGTTGTTGTTGTTGTTGTTGTTGTTGTTGTTTTTGGTTTTGGATGTTTTGTTTTGATCTCTACAGATGTAGGGCTTAAAGCTGATGACTTTATCAAGAGCCCCTCTAAAATAGAAGGCTTGTCATCATCTAAGGGGTGGGCCATGTAGGAGCAGTGGTCCCTAAATGGCATTTTACCCAGCCCTTTCCTTCAGAGATGAGGGTGAATCTGTGAGCCAAACAGGGTAGCCAGGGTGGCAAAGTTTAGTTTATATTAGAGTAGGTCCAAAATAAGAGTCAATGCCTATGGAGAAACAGAGATCACATAACCCAAACCACTGTTCCGCGGCCCAGAGAATCCAGCTTATACTAATCATACAGTTCTCTCCTTTTTGCTTCTTAAAAAAAAAAAAAAATGACGTTCTGCCTGTTGATGATGCTTCTGTATACATTAAAAAGAAGAACAGGAGGCTCAGTGGCTCATCGGTTAAGAGCACTGGTTGCTGTTCCAGAGGACCTGAGTTCCGTTCCCAGCAACCACATAGTGGCTCACAAGCATCTGTAACTCTAGTTTCAGCAGATCTACATCCTCAACTGGCACCAAGCACACATGTGGTATGCAGACATGTACTCAAGGAAAGCACTCACACACATACAATAAAACTAAAACTAAATACTGAAATTCATGGGTAACCTCTTGCTGTGTGTGTGTGTGTGTGTGTGTGTGTGTGTGTGTGTATGTGTGTGACTGTGTGTGTGTAAATGTATGTGTGTGGGTATGTGTGTGTGTGTGTGGGGGGGGTGTCCTATCTCCCTCTTCCTCTCCACCTTGCTCTCTCTGTCTCATTTTTGTCTCAGCTAGAGTGTTGCTACACAGCCCACAATGGTCTAGCATGAGCCACCACAGCCAGCTTTAACAACCAAGTTTCTATTTGCCTCCCAATGTTGACTAGGAATAGTAGTACACTGTGCTTAATTCACCTTACCTTCCCAGACAGGAAATACCAGAACTGAGATTCTCTTTCTTCCTATCCTGAAATCACATGTCTCTACGCATTTCCCAGAGGTCACCAGAGGTCACCAGAGCAAGGGTAAGCTCTCCAGTTTCTGCTACCTCACAATAGGTGTCTTTAGATATTTAGGCTGGTTTACATGTAAGTGTACTGGGGAGATGCATACAATTCTTAGGCAAGGATTTGGCATTTTAAAAATCTCCATTACATTTATGAGATCTGTTTGTGTTAAGCCTAACTCACCTTAACTTTTATAGCATTTAAGTATTTAAAAACTAGTCCTTCATAATAGCTTCCACAAATGTCCTCCACACATCTTCTCACATGCCTGAGAGTGTCGTTAGGGTATATATATATTAAAGCAGAACTATTTCGAGCATGCCGTATGCTCATTTAAATCCTACTACACGCCATCCAGTAGCTTTCCAGAATGAATCCATCAGCATGTCCCCTATGAGTATACCTTACATTTCCATCTGCCAGTATGAGTTAGCAGCAAACCATCAGAGCTTCCTTTTGATGATACATGCAGTCAGATGTGCTGGCATATGACTGTAAGCACAGCACTGGAAAGATTGGTTGAAGTGAGTTTGAGACATATGGTCCACCTAGTCTGAATAAAACAATGAGATATAATACCATTTTGTTGAATTAAATGCTCATTAGCCTGCATTTGCTGATTGGATATTTGAAGGTTTCCCTTTTGTAAATTTCTTGTTCATATTTCCTATTATTTGCTAAGTTATATTTATTGGACTGTTAAACTGTTGCTTTATTTTGGATTTTTGAAATAAGCTCACACAATGTACACAAGAATGACCTCAAATTTGTGATTCTTCTATCTCAGCCTCATAAGTGCAGTAAGTACAGACATGTGCCACCAGACTCGGAGAGTACGCCTCCTCTTAATGCTTTACCAAAAGATAGGCGTACGTGTGGTGTGTATATGTGTGCATGTGTGTGGTGTGTATATATGTGGTGAATGTTCGGGGGGGGTGTGTGTGTGTAATGTGTTTGGTGAATATGTGTGTGGTATGTGTATAGTAAATGTGTATGGTGAGTATGTGTGTATAATCAAGTGTTTGTGGTGTGTGTATGTGTGTTTATGGTGAATGTGTGTGTGTGGTGTATGTGGTGTGTGTATGATGCATGGTGTATGTGCATGTGGTGTATATGTGCGATATGTGTAGTGTATACAATGTGTGAATGTGTGATGTGTGTGATTGTGATGTGTATGTTTGGTGAATGTGTGTGGTATGTGTATAGTAAGTGTGTGTGGTGAATGTGGTGTGTGTGTGGGAGGGGGTCCACACAGGACAAGGACAAGACAATGGCTCTCATTTCCTCACTTGTAGGTTAAAGAGATCAGCCAATGGTAATCAGTCAAAATCAATTTTGTGATCTAAGCCTGACCTGTTACCCCAACTTTATACCTGAGATAATTTGGGCCCAGAGAAGCAAAGAAACTTTTTTATCATTATAGTCCTGCTTAATAATGGACAAGAAGCCAGGTGTCATGGTGCATGCCTTCAATCCCAGTAACTGGGAGGCAGAGTCAGGCAGGTCTCTTTGAGTTAGAAGCCAGCCTGGTCTAAAGTGAGTTCCTGGACATCTAGAGCTACATAGTCAGACCCTGTTTCAAAAAAAAAAAAATAAATAAGAAAGGAAAAGCAAGAGTGGACAAGGACCCAAAGTCCCAGTCATCAGGTGCCTAGAACAGGGAGTGACTTCACTCATCTCACACAGAGTGAAGCCTGGTATATCTGTCCCCAAAATAAGACACAAGGACACACTTCATCCAACCACTTTTATTGAACAATAATGGTAAGAGAACCTTATTCTATACCAAAAGATATAACGGATGAGCAATTACTGGGTTTTATTGCTAGAGGCAAGAGTCTGTTCCAAAGATGAAAGAGGCAGAATCCAGTGCCTTTTTAAAATTGATTGCTATTACTATTCCATGCAAAAACATGGATTTCCTCAGAACTTGGGCCTAAGACTGACAGAAAGAAGGTGGCTTTTCTCGGTATAGAATGACTACTGAAAAATTCTCTATTTCTCTCTATTGTATGTGGGGTATTATCAGTATTGTTAAGATCTAGAATGTCAACCAGGAAAATTCAGTCTGAACACAAGACTTAGTATTTCACCCACAATGTACAGGATTCGCTTTTATTACTATAGGAAGGAATCCTGACCACTTTTCCTGCCTTGGCCAATGAATCTCATTCTCATATGCATGAAGTTTCACATTAGCTACTGTTTATCTTGTTTGCATTGCTCATTGCGAATCTCGTTACAGCATATATATATGAACGAATGCATATATATACATATATCGGTTTTTTCCTAAAGGTTCTCCAACTTTCTAAAAGATTTTATTTTATTTATTTGTGTGTGTCTGTGTGTGTGTCTGTATGTCTGTGTGTCTGTGTATGTACATACATATCTGAGTGCATGAGGAGGCCAGAAGAGGGTGTCGGATCCCCGGGAGCTGAAGCAACAGGCCATTGTGAGCTGCCTTATGTGGGTTCTAGGAACTAAACCCTAGTCCCAAGCTATCTCTCCAGGCCCCAACATAAACTTTTTAACAGCTTTGAGTGCTAATACTGGAGACAGTCATCCCAAAAAAAACACTGCTTGATGTGGGGGTACAAAGCCTGAGCCTTCCCCACTCTGATCTGTAAAGCCCCTGAGTGATATACACCTGGATGCAGGTAGACCTTGGAAAGTGCCAGTTGCTGCCCCAGAAAAACTATCCAAATGGCAAGATGCCATAAGAGTGGTATCCCAGTCCACCGGGTCAAGTTCTTGGAACCTGATGCTTCTGTGGCATGGTGCTCAGATAAAAGACAATCAGCATCAGTGTTCTGAGTTCCCAGAATTCCCTGTGCACCTTGAACTGTCTCTATTCGAGGGTGGTCGGTGAAAAGAGAAACATGGAGAACTGAGCCCATCCTAGAGTGACTGCAGAAGTGCCAGAAGACTAGCAAGGGTTACATCCACAGCTGGGATGCCAGAGACTAGCCTCCTGGTGCATCAGAGATCTTCTCTGGTGTTCAGAAGAAGACATCAAAAAGGACAACCAAAAAGAACACAAAGGAGCATCAATCTATCTACATTGATGATGGTGTTTCAGAGAAACAGGCAGAACTCTTTAAGGCCCAGGGCTAGGCATAACAAGGTGATAACTGGGCTGGTCACCAGCCTTTCCAGCCCCTTGCCTGCAGATCAATTGTAGGAAAGGTAGTCGATGAGCCGGGGAGGGATGTTCAACTTGGCAACTTTCTCTAGCCCTCGGACACCAGTGGCCTTCCTCAAGCTCACCCTGCAGAGCTGTGAGAGAGTAAGGGGTGTCTCTGTGGGGAAAAAGGATCAAGGAAATACATGAAAAAGGTTTCTAGAAGAAGCATACCCTGCAACCTGCGAAGGGGGAACTGGAAGAGCCCAAGAATTAGGATGAATCATATGTCATCTCTGAAAGGTCAGATAGCCAGGTACCAGCAGCAAGAAGCCAGGCAATAATGTTCTAGTGATATCCACAGGGATTCATCTCGTGGGGTTGGGTCCTTAGAGACAGGGGTCTTTTGTTTTGTAGGAGGAGTTGCTGGTTTGTTTTTGATACTATGTAGCAAATAGACTTAGCGAAGAAGTGACCAAAAGGCCCATTTGTCACATATCCAGCCAAGTCAGGCATGGGAGAAGGGTTTAATCCAGGGGAGGTGCTAGCAGCTAGCTCATGAACTCTAGGCTACAGGAACATAACAAGAGCTGATGCTTCAGCACAAATGGTCCCCAGAGACAGAAGTATTCTTAGTACATCCTAGTGTACTAAGGACAGGAACTCAGGCCTCAACTCAAAGTGGTCAGCATAAATTCAAGAACTAGCAAACTGGGGGCTCTGGATGAATGACAGTGGTTCCTGGCAGCATGGGATATGGGAGTATTTGCACAACAGAACCTGACTCACTTTCATAGTACTCAAAGCACTTAGCCGGGGCGCTGCTGCTCCATGTGTAGTCCGAGGGCTTCTTGCCCCTGTTGTCCCGGGCGTAGATGTTGCCTCCAAACTCTATGAGCATCTCGATGAGGTCGACATTCTTTACCTTGGCCGCATGATGAAGTGCAGTCTCGTGAAGTTTGGCTGCGTTCACATTGGCCCCTAGAGAACCACAGCAGAGAATGTCTGTCACCAAGAAGATCGAGTGGAACCAAGAGGAAGACTGACGTACACATCACCCTTTGTCAGAACACAAAAGCAATCCTCGCCCAGGAAACAGAATAACAGACTCCACTGTACCTTCTCAAAATTCAAGATTAATACTTATTTTTTCCTTATCAAAGTGAGGGATATATCATATATGTGATATACATAGTATATATAAAAGACATAATACACATGATATATATATATATATATATATACATTATATATACATCATATGTGATATATCCCCCAAAAGCAAAATACACACACATACACAGAGCAAAGTAAAAGGCTTCTTATGGGCTAAATGTCTGTTCTGAAGTACCCTGTAGTCTGTCCTCATAGGTCCCTAGATTTCCCGAGGCTCATCCTGTGGACACAAACACAGGTGACACAGCTGCTCTGCCCCAGGCATGTTGGGCTCAAAAACTAACTGACTGGATAAAAAATGATATCCCTTAGATATATTCTTTTGTACAGTGGGAGAGATAAAGAAGAAACGGACAATGTGCTTGAAAAGTTAGCTGTGAATTCAGCTCCACTCCCCTCATCTTTCTGGAGACATACAGAAAGTTTCACGGAATTAGAAGCTAGACACAGCATTCTAAGCCTATGGCCCCTGGTATTCCTAGGTCTCCCATCCAAGTTTAACCAGGTTTGGCCTGGTTTAGCTTCTGAGATTAAACCAGAGTGGGCATGTTCGGGGCAATATGGCTAAATTCAGCATTTTAAAATACATTAAAAAAAAAAAAAAAGATTTTGAGGCTGGTGAGATGGCCTAGCACAAGCACAGTGAACTGAGCTGGATCCCCAGAACCCACAAAGAGAGGAAAGGAAAGAACAAACGCCACAAAGCTACCTGTCCTCCACCTGCCATGCATGCGCTTTGGCACGCACACCTGAAGCCATATGCATACAACAACAATAAATTTAAAAATTAAGGTAAATGTTTAAAAATTTTAAATTTTGATTTAAAAAATGGTCTGTGTGAAATGTCCTTCTTGATACATAGCAATCACCAGTTCTATATATTGGTTTTCTAAGGCCTCAGAGCTTGTTTGGAAGAAGATGTTAATGTCTTTGAAGTCTTCTCTTGAACCAGTAAAGAGTTAATAGCTAACAATTAATAGGAAAAGGTTAAAGTATTTTAAAGAAACCAAGCAAATATCTTTGCATCCATAAATCACCCAAATTACAGTTTCAAACCATGGTCACAAAATCAGAGCTCTACCAGCGATGTGCCAGTGTTTAGTGTCATCCTAGGTGCTGGTCCACTGTTCATAGTTGGGAAACCCTCCTTTCTGCTTTAAAATCTGCTTAATCTTCTAAAGGAATTAAGAGCTGTGCTTATCCCAATGGCCATGATGTGATCCTGAGAACACTCTTTTCTGCTCCCCTGGCAGAATCCAGAGACCCCAAGTCACCAGGGACTGACCATTTCCTCCTAAAAGGAGAGGGCTTGAGTCACACTTAGGAGCTGCAGAGTGCCATGAATGGGCAGAAATGAAAACCTGACCAACACGCCCATCGTTCTCTTGCCTCAGCTGGTTTCCTTTTAACACCTGCTTATAGGAGCAAACTTTTCCAGATTGCTCTAATCATCATGCAAAACATGATTTGAAGTGAAAATCAAATTGTAGAGCTCACAGACTTTAGAGTCCAAGTGGCTTTTTTTTTTTAATTTATCCTTGCAATATTCTTGCAAGAGCAAATCAGGAAAGGATGTGATTTATTTTGATTTTAACAATGAAGAAAGCGAAAGGTTTCCTCAAGGTCGAAGAGAAAGAGAAAGTAGGAACGAACTATAACATCCACCCCTCCTTCCTTGCTGTTGGCTGCCATGGCTCCTCTGATATGTTTGGATTGTGAGTGACTCTTTCAAAGTGGCCTTTCCAAAGTAAACAGTAATATTTTCCCTACTCTGCACTTGGCATTTTTTGGGTGGATAGAAAGGGGGGGTCAATGAGGAGGGAAGCTGACTGGAAACATAGACCGAGTGTGCACACAGCAATATGTCTAGGCTCAACTAGTGCTGAATGAAAGTGGGAATAGTGAGAGACGGCCAACATCAACAGACTTCTTATTTGAAAACTGGAGCAGTAACTGAAGGAGAAGGAAGGAAGAATGTCAGGAGGGAGGGATTTTGTGGCACAATGGCCATTTCGTATCTTGGTCAAGCAGGGAGATGGTAAGACAACCAACTCCTTCTGCGAATTAAGAACTGTCAATTCCATACTTCAGAGAAAGAAGTCAAAACTGGCTCATTATCAAGATCTTCACTTCAAAACAAAATAGGATTAATGTGATCTGGAGTGAAACAGAAGCCAGCGGCTGCCTTAATACCCTAGCACACAGCTGAAAACAGCCACAATCCTGGACCATCAGAACAAATGACTCCGTGCCCAGGAACACAGGTTCTGCCAAGAAGATGGAAGTGTAAATAATTCTCATCTACTACCTCTGAACGCTTCCAGAGAGTTAAATATTTACTGTTAGTGATCAGGTGAAAAATTACTTAACCATAACAAGTGGACTTTGATCCTCACCACCTCTTCCTCTGCAAACACGGTCTAATTCCTTAACTCTGCCTCTCTACCTGCAAAATGACTACTTCACATACGAACTCAGATCTGCCAGCAGAGCCAGGACCTTTGTCGTCACCGCACAAGCACTTGCCGCACGTTTTTCCGGGAATGTGGCTCTCTTAGATTCTCCAACAGGCTTATGGGTCAGCCTCAGTAGTATAGAATCTCACTGATTTTGTAAAGCTTCTGTGAGTCCATAGGCCTATGCTACTTCTCTCTACTTCTATATAGGATGGAACTATTTCACAATTTTAAAAAAGTACTTCAAAGGAGAAAATAAAAAAGACAATCTTGTCAAGGAAGTCCATCAAAAATTAAAGTGGCATCTGGTCTACCTCTTCCTGACTCCTCTCTTCAACTCTGTTTTGGATCAAGGCTCAGGACCCTCTTTTCTCCTTTCTGGTACATTCTGCCCCAGACTACATCTGTTCTCAATGCTTAGTTGCTGCCACAGAGGAAGGAGACACACACACCCTTCCCCAAATTCTACTAATCCTTGATTTCCTAGATATATGGAAATTTCCCTTTAAAACTATAGAAAGTTGGGGTGGGGTGAGAAGACAGATCCACCCATAGCTCCAGAGTGGTACAGTCCCTTTCCTTCTACATTTGACAAAGCTGGAGTATAGTAATAAGACCTAGTTTAAGCCAATGGATCATCAGGGGAGGTACATTAGTGACACTTGCAAAGGAGACTTTGCTCTTCTGGAAAAGCTACAAAAGAGCCTTAAAGTGTAAAGTGCTGATGGACTGAGAAATGCTGTTCTCACAACTGCCTATAACTCCAGCTCGAGGGACCTGATACCCTCTTCTGGCTTCTGCAGGCACCCATATACATGTGTACACACAAATACACACAAACAGAGAGAGAGAGAGAGAGAGAGATGGAGAGAGAGAATATCAGATTAAACGGTAACTGTTTACCAGGCATTATATAAACAGTATTGAGAATATTCCCAACACATGGGACAACAGTTTTCATTTTTCCAGTTTTATAGATACAGAGGCCAAGGCCAAGGTCTCTCAGCATAGTGGAAGAACCAGTCTATCTGCTTCTGCTACCCAGCCATCTACTAGCATGGTTCAGGTTAAGTTATCCACTCAGGTAAACTTACAGTAGCTTGGGCAAACAGCAGCATACCTGCATTGAGCAACACTTTGACACAGTCCAAATGTTCCCGTGCACAGGCAACATGTAGAGGCGTCCCGAAATGACAATCATGGGCTTCCAGGTTGGCCCCAACGTCAATAAGAAGCCTCACGCATTCAGAACTCCCTTGAAATAAGTCGGGGGAAAGATGGAGATGTTCATGAATACACACACTGGAAATAGTAGCCATGACAAACAGCAGTTGAAAAGGTGGCCCTACAAGAAACCAAGGGGAAGGAGCCTATATCTCAATATACAAAGTGGCTGGTAACTCTGCATGGTCCTAAGAGATTCCAAAGGCATCTCCTCTCTCCCCTCAGGAACTCTTAGGACACTTGGTTGTGATAGAAAAGGCTCACGTCCACTTTCCTGCTGAGGACAGAAGATATGAGAAAACACTTGGACACAGGGAGCAAAGAGCATCCTGACCCTCATCTCAAAGTCCCCCTGTACCATGTCTGGGAGCATCTAGGCTGCATCCCAGCCAGTCTGCTGGATGAAGGAACCTCTCTCTGGCATTCTCCCTATTCAAGTTGCGCCCCCGCCCCAGCACCTCTTCCACTTTTTTTCTGTTCCTCCTCCTGTCAGGGCACATTTGGATCAAGGCTTGGGCCCTCTTCTCTTCTAATGGAGGGTCCACATGCCCAAACAACCTGACCCCATTATACTATCGCTGGCATTGAGGTTTTTGACCCAAATCTCTCCTTTTGGGTTTTTCCCTCCCTTAGGGGATCATAAGGAGAAGTATCCTAAAATGAAAAGTCTGGTCCACCATAGTTTAGGAGGAGGATATGCCACCTACCTCACAAATATTCATAAAAACTTCTTTAAGATCCACAACTGAGAATTCTCTGGGCTGCCCATACTTTGGGGTGGCCCGTTCTAATCTCTCCGTGGAGTGTTTGTTTTTAATTAGCTTTGATAAATGAACTTCTGCTTAACCTATTTGTCTCTAGAGAGATCCTCCTGGTGACTCCCCATATCCACACAGGCCAGCCTCCTTCACTGGGCTCTAAGCGCAGTGTACTCGGGCATGGTCCCTAACACACAGACTCACCGCTCATGCAGGCCTCATGTAGCGGGGATGCCGTGTACAAAGGAGGGTTGACTTTCGCCCCATAGGACAGCAAGAGCTTCACACACTCGATGCTGCCTGAGGCACAGGCATCACAAAGAGGGGTGCTGCCGTCAATGTTGCGCGCGTCCACCTCAAAGGACAGAAGAAGCAGATGTCAAAGGGTTAGGCAATTAAGTGCAATGACCCTTTGTAATCTTCACGCAGGTCCATCTTTGCAAAGATAATGTCTTAAAATTACCAGTTCGCTGGTCCGCACCAAGCCATGGGAGGGAGTTCAAAGAGCAAGGTGCATGGGTTAGGGTAGGAATGTAGAAGCCTCCTAAATATAGAAGTCTCTCATTGGAGGGTCTCTTCCCACCCAGGGCAGGCTAAACCTCAGCCTCACCCTCACTGCCACCCCCAAGCCAATGATAAACATAGGGCAGAAAAGGAGCGCCTGAGGCTAGGGGAGCAAGTTTCAAGACGGATTTTAAGTTGAGCTTTGACTAAAAAGAAATGCTCCAGACTGCTCAGCATGCCTCATGGAAAATTATAGGGCAGGAAGAAGCCAACACCCTAGACTGGGAAAAGCGCACTTAAAACTTATCCAAGTTAGGCTTCTAAGCGAGTACACACTGAAAACTGTGAAAGTTGCTCCATCCCAAGCTTTGGGGACGGGTAGATGGTGTGCTGTGTTCACTCTGCACTCAGATGGTGAGTTCCGAGACCAGGGTCCTGTATTCTCCACAGGCACAGAGGGCAGTACAGATGCCACCAGCTCTGCTAAGCAGGCAGATAGTCTGCAGAATGGAAACCACCAGCAGCGAAAACTAACTGTGCAGTGAACGTGCACACTGGCGAGGGCAGCCAGGTCACAAGTTTGTTTTGTTACCTTTTTTCTCCACCTCACCCCAGCGGTTTTGCCAGCACCTCACACTGTATATCCTGGAGTTAAGAACTCTGTAAAACCTACACAGCGATTCCTTCCATAACACTTCTTAAAGTAACAGACCACCTTTTAGCACTTAATCATCTTTTAATAAAAAGGACAACTGATCGAACTTCTTAAAAAAACAAAAAAGCAAAAACAACCAAACCTACAGAGCAGCTGTTCAGCCCCGGGGCCCAACTGCTCACAGAAGAGTCTACCTGGTCATCTCAGAGGGGAGCTATGCTAACCCACTTTGATAAAAGTGCCCCATCCATGAACCCGCTCTGGTCCACAGCAACCATCCCACCCCCTCCCATGGCTTTCAGCACCCTAAGCAGCCTGTCTGTCTACATCCTTGCACTCCTTAAGAGTCTTTTCTTTTCTCTAGTGTTCTCCTAAGCCTGTCCCACCAACCCCTATGGCTGCCACTAGGTGGCTGTCAATGCTGAATGGTCACCCACCTGGGCACCAGCTGCCAGCAGCAGCTGCACACACTGGGCCTGGCCCTGCAGACTCGCTGCATGAAGGGGTGTGATGGAGTCCACAGTGACCTGGTTAACGCATGCTCCACTGGCAATCAGCTGCTGAAGCTGTAGGCTCTCACCCCGCTGAGCTGCCTCGTGCACGGGGGTACGCTCCACCCAGAAACCTAAAGAGGAAACAGAACCCTTACTAAGACCCTTCTGCTTCCATCAAAACAAAGGAATCCAAATGAGGTTCTGGGGCCCACTGGCAGCCAAGACACCATATGTGACCATGTAATTGGTCCCAGTGCTCCTATTAAAATCCATAAGCAATCCCCACTAGCTGGAGGGTGGAGCTCAAAGTTCTTGCCAGGGCATATAAGGGTGTCTGCATTATGAATCTGGTTCATAGCCGGGCGGTGGTGGCGCACGCCTTTAATCCCAGCACTCGGGAGGCAGAGGCAGGCGGATTTCTGAGTTCGAGGCCAGCCTGGTCTACAGAGTGAGTTCCAGGACAGCCCGGGCTATACAGAGAAACCCTGTCTCGAAAAAAAACCAAAAAAAAAAAAAAAAAAAAAAAAAAAAAAAAAAAAAATGAATCTGGTTCATACTGTGAGCCCATCTCTCGCCCCTGATCCCTTACAGCCATATGCTCTATAGTACAGCAGTTTCACGAGTGTACCTCTGTATGCTCTAGCTTATTACCAAGAGGGATGTGCCCCATAAGTAGCAATATACAGTTTGAGGGGGTAGTGAAAAATAGCAAATTAGCAGCTTAAAGTCAATAGAAGTGAAAAACCCCAAGTAAGAGAAGTTTCATGAAACTTTTAAAAAGAAGATAAGGTAAATCTTAGGTTTGTATTGGGGTGGTGGGGAGAGAAAAGGAGGAGAGAAGGGGAGAGAGGAGGAGAGGAGAAGAGTCCACTAGAACCAGAACGGTCCCTGAGGTGGAGCTAATGTGTCATGTGCAGTTCCTGCCATATAGATACTCAGCAGCTTATCTACATGGAATCAGCACTCTCCACTTCCATATACGAAGATGTGTAAGACGCAATAACAGGTAGCTCCTAGTGAGGAGCAAGGTGAATGCCACAAAAACTCAAAGCACCACAAGGGCAGCAATGGAAGAACATTGCCAGTGATGAGAATTCAGAAGCAAAATCTCCCAAGTAACCTGGCAAGTACATGGAAGTATCACAGAGGTCGCAGGTCAAGCTTGGCTAATTCAGTACTGTGTTCCCAGCACCTAGTACACACCCATAGTTTATGGCTGAACAAATTGCTTGTGTTCACCTAGAAGCTGGATAATTGGATAAATGGATGAATGGATGGATGAATAGATGGATGAATGGATAGAACTGCTAAAATGAATTATAATTATATAAAACATACAATTTGAAAAAGACAAGCAACCTTTTTTCCCTTTATATGATCTATCTTTAGAAGAAATACAATTACCGGTAACCACATTTTCCAGTAGAACGAGTATCGGCTGCAATAGTCCTGACTTCGATAAGACAGAAATCAGAAGCAGCAAATGTGATAGCCAAAAGTAGAGAGGCAAAGGAAGCAGAGGAGGAGCAGGAGGAGAGGGGGGAGAGGTTTCAGTCCAAAGGGCACAATCAACAGAGTTCAAAAATAATCCATAAAATGGATGAAAATATTTGCAAGTTACATATCTGATAAAAGATTAATATCAAGAATATATAAATAACTTCTACAATTCAACAACATAAAAAACAATCAAAGTTTAAAATGGGCAAAGGGTTTAACAGAAAGAGATATACAAATGGTTAACAAACATGAAAAGACTGTCAACATCACTAATCATTAAAGAAATGAAAACTCAAATTTCAATGAGATGCTTCTTCATACCTATATGTTGTATAACAGTTTTCTCTGAGAGAAAACATTCAGTCTTGGAGGGAAACTCATTAAGACTCTGCAAGTTATGGATGTTCTAAGGGGAGGTGAAACATTCCATTCTTCAAGGATAAAAACCAGGAAACAAATAACTCAATAGCATCAGGAAGTCCCTGAAACTGGCCAGATTCATACATACATAAATATTAAAGGCTGATGAAAGACACTCTCAAATAAGCCAAGCCTAGAAGCGGCTCATACCAACTGAGCTGCCTATGAAGGACACTCTCCTGTGTGCAGCTGCTTACAAGTTGTACAGTGAACTCCAGCTTTCCAGTGCTATCACCCATGCTAGGGTGGACATGAAGCTGTCTTTGAGTTGTCTCTGATTCTGTAAGTAATCCTTCACCCATACTCCTGTAAGTAAACACAACAAATATAAAAACAATACAAGCAAGTGTTCATCAAGAAATGAGTGGATAAGCAAAATGTGGTATATAAACATTAGCTTTACGTAGAGAGAAAATGGGAGCAGGCACTACAACGTGAATAAACCTTGAAAACATTATGTTAAATGAAATAAGCCAGTCGCTAAAGGCCGTATGCTATATGATTCCACTCACACAAGGCACCTAAAGTAAACACAATTGTAGGGACAGAGAGCAAGGTGATGGGACTGAGGAGCATGGAGTTATCCTCTAATGGGTCTAGGAGGTCAGTTTTGCAGGATGAAGAGTTCTATGGGTGAAGGGTGATGACTGATGTGCTAAATGTGCAATGTAATGACATTGAACTCTACAGCTGAAAACATTAAGATGGTAACTTCTATGCTCTTTATTCAAGTGTTTAGAAGAGAGCTAGAGAGATGGATCAGCTGTTAAGAGTGTTGGCTGCTCTTCCAGGAGACCTGGGCTCAATTCCTAGCACCCACGTTGACATTCCATCCATAACCATTTGCTAACTCCAGCCCTGAAGGATCCAGTTCCCTCTTCTGGCCTCTGATGCCACTGAAGACATGTGGTACACAAACACATCTGCAGGCCAAACACCCATAGGCATAAAATGTTTTTAAATTTTTGAAAAGTAACTGTATTGGTTCCTTTTCTCGCTGCTACAACAAAACACACGACAGATGCTACTTAAGGGAGGAAGACTTTAACTGGGCTCAGAGCAAGAGATGAAATCCATCATGGCAGGGAAGGCATGCATTGGGAGCAGGAGGCAGCTCGCATACTGAGTTCACAGTCAGAAAACAGAGAGAGAGGAACACCAAGGTTCAGATCACTTCCTGCTTTTTTATTCCATCTGGGACCACAGCTTGTGGACTGGAGTCACCCACATTCCTTCGGGTCTTCCCTCCTTAGTTGTACCTTTCTGGAAAGGCTCTCCCAGAAATACACAGAGGAGTATCTCCCAGGTTATTCCAAGTCTAAGTAAGAAATAGTAGTCCTTCAGTAACAAGAAGCCAGAGAAGAACATGCTCACTGACATCAGAAAGAAAGATAGCTTTATGGCAAGGAAGGGTATTAGTCACCTAGGCTGTGTCTGATACTCCTAACCACTGAATGCCTCCTCTAGGGTTATAAATCAGGGAGGAATGAGACATTCTCGTCATAAAGAACAGTAGCAATCAGTAGAAAAGATAATGGAAGAAGAAGGAGAAGATACAATGTGAATATGAGCCTTAAATAGATTCCTGAAAAGTATGCATAGAAAATACAGTCAATTGGGAAACTGCTGGTCAGGCTTCACTTCAGCCTGATCCAATCTAGTGCCAAGAGCCCAGTTATGAAATTGCCCCATTTCTGAATCTCAACATTATGCCCTTGAGGATAGTGCTGCATTGGAAACCTGATCCCCTGCACTGTTTTAGCAAGCTCCCTCTGGGGCTGGGGCTCAGTCTTCACTATATAATTGCTCTCTCATTACCAGCCAGCTCCCAGCTCCCTTCCTCCTCACATAGTCAAATAATAAGATGGCCATGTGGGACCTCGATCACAGTCTTCCAGTGACTTCTATCTTGTGTGTGTGTGCTACTTGCTGGTTCACGTGTACATATGTGCACATGTATGTCAGGCCAGAGGTCAATTCCCTGTGTCTTCCTTATCTGTGTTTTCTATTGCCTTATGAGATGGAGTCTTCTCAGTGAACCTGGAGTTCACCAACCAGGCCAGACTGACTGGCCAACAAGCCCCGGAGAATATTCTATCATGTCTTAATAAACCTTAACCAACTCAATAAACTCCGTACTGACTCCTCTTCAAAGTCTTTTCTTCAACACTCTCTAGTATCCCTGCTTCACCGTAGTGGGGAATCTCTGCTCCACTGGCATCAATGTCTCTGGCTCCCACTGTCCTTGGCAGACTGAGTTCCTACCCTGTTTATCTACTCAGTTCCTGGTCCTCTGAGGTGGAGCCCACACTCTTTACAGATGGTGAGGCAGAGCCAGCTGCAGAGAGCCTCCAGCAGGGACTCTCCTGGCCTGGCAGCTACGGTGTGAGTATTCATACCAGGACAACCAACAAAACAGTTTCTTGACCTGCTTCCTCCCTGATGGTTTATTAGCATCTTACTTAATTACAGAGGGCAGAGACCTGCTGCATGAGCTCAAGACGTAGGTGTATCGCCCAGGCCCAGCTACTCTCCGAGAAAACTAGGATTATGGCTGCCCTTCCTCAGCCTGCTCAGTGCAGAGCAAGCCAACTTTCCAGAGACCCTCGTCCACAATATATTATAGACATGTCCAGTGGTGGGCTGGACTAGACCTTAACTTTGACAGGGATCGTGGCTATGACTACTGAAGCTGCCTCTCTCCAGCCCAGTCATCTCTCAGTAGTAAGCAGGCCCACTCCAAAAAAAAAAAAAAAAAGCATCTTCAACCCCCCCCAAGGACATATTCAGGGCAAAGTGGTCCATCATTGTGACTGTGAATGGGGGGGGTCAAACCTCAGGGATGCCTTCTTCGATGTGATATGAATTGGCACTCTTATTCCAAGTAAGTCATTGAAGGGGATCTGAAGGTTAGAGATGAAGCTCAGTTGGTAGAGAGCTTGACTGCCTGCACAAAGCCTGGGCTTGATCCCCAGCATAGCAGAAAACAGGGTGTACTTGGATCTAGAGAGATGCCTCAGTGGTTAAGAGAACATAGTACTCTTTCAGAGGACCTGAGTCTGGTTCCCAAGTGTCTGATAACTGCCTTTAACTCCAAGCACACACTTGTAATCCCAACAATTGAGAGGAAGAGGCAAATGGATCTCTGTGAGTTCCAGGCCAGCCTCGTCTACAGAGCTAGTACCCAGGACAGTCAGAGCTGTTGCACAGACAAGCCCTATCTAGAAAAACAATCAAACAAATGAAGATAAATAAATATAGACACAGGAGGGGCCAGCCACACATGCTGGGACACAACCAGGGAAGAACTGTGAATGCTTATGAATGGAAACAAGATGCTGCAAAGAATCCTTCAAGACACATTTATCTTTATTTAGCTCTCGAGGAAAAGTTCAAGGTCCTGAGTGATTTATCCCCAGAGTCTTGGAAAACTAAGATCTGTGCCCTTAACAATGAATTCTGGAGCTGAGGACTTCAGAGATACTACACAACTGACACACCAGGATGGAGAGCCAAGTGTGTGACCCCGTTACCTTTCCAAACCTCCTTACAAAGGCAGTAAAGGAGTGGCAGGGGTGGAGGAGCCCAGCCTCTTCCTCTTCTGGGGTTATCTGTATACACTTGAGGGTTTACCCTCCTCCTCACTGTACGGATGGCAGTGCCTGTTCTTCAGGATCCTATGACCAGTAAACACAGTATGTGTGCTCCAGAATGGCCCCCAAGTAAACACTTAACAAGTATTATTGATCATTATCATCCAGCTTCAATTGTACAGTCTGTATTTAAATTTTAACAGACCCTAAATTGACAGGCACTTTGACTTCCAAGAGAAAACTAGATCTCTTTACTTGTAGAAATCATTACTTTAAATTTGGGCTGCTTTTTGTTAATTTTTAAGATAGTTCTCAAGCATATCTTTTTAAATGTTTTAATTACTAATTTCCTAAATAGTCTATGACAAAACAAAAACATAAATAAAACAAAATAAAACACTATGCAAATAACCCATGGTGTGACTTTAAAAGGCACTCATGTAAAGGGGGTGGGGGGACAATAATTACCATTAATATTTTTTAAAAAACATTCAATGAGGTTAAAAAAAACGAAATGTTTGCCTTCAAAGAGGGACAGGGAACAGCAACTTGAAAGGACCAAGTAAGGAAAAGAAAGTGAAAGACAGTAAGGGAAAGTGAAACAGACTGCAACTAAGTAAAAGAACCAGGAAGCTGGCTGGCACAGGCACAGAACCAGTGAGTCCTCAGTGAGTCCTCGCCACTGCAGACCCTACTGAAACAGAAGCTCACTTAGAACAGGTATCTCCTTCCCTTCCTTCCTGTCCCCTCACTCACTCAGTAATTTGAGGCCTGCCTTTAGTCACCCTAAAATGTGTATTAAGTGAGGGTACACTCCCTTAGTTCCCACAGCCCGACCACAAAACACAGTGAGTCTGGGCTTCATGCCACAACGCCCTGCTCTCTCATCCTGTCTTGTCTTGTTTGTTTTTTATTTTTCTGAGAGAAGTTCTTGGTATCAGCCTGGGCTGGCTTTAAATTCACAAGCCTCCTATCTGGGCCACCCAGCAGCTGAGATTACCAGTAAGAACCTCCAGGCCTGGCTTATCTTCTTTGTTCCTGTTGAAGAACTTCAGAAAAGGGTTTTCATTTGAAACCAGCCACCTTAGTTTTCTTGTGAAGGAGGTGACTTTTCACAGGGCCATGTTGCTGGAGAAGATAATGTGCTGTTTTGCTCATAAATGTGTTTATTACTTACTATTATTTCCTTTGAAACCTTTTCAGCCTCAATAAGCTTTCAAGCTTATTTGTCAGGTTCTCTTTGAATTCCTATTTTAGAGTAAATTTTCCTTCTAACCATTCAAAGTATCACTCTAAGCCTTGAAAAGCATCCTGAATCCTTGCTAAGACTGAGTGTGCCACAGGGATAAAAAATGGTAAAGCCTGGGGGTTCCTAATGGCACATGGAAGATCTTTTCCGTCCTTTCTCTCCAAAGATGTCATGAAATCGAGAGAAGAGGAATATAGCTACATAAGTAAACAAAAGCAATCTAAAAGTGGTATGCATAAATATTCCAGTTACCATACCGCAGGAATATAGAATGACAAGTCAGAATGTTACACAGTTCAAGTTCCCTGTGGTGGCTTCCACTTTTATTGGGAACAGTGATACTGTTTTGGATCCAACACCTTCAGCTTATTCATTTAGGCCAGAAATACAAATACCTATCTTCTGAAGAACAGCAGGTAGATCATAATTCAAGGCAGTGTACCGTATAGACCATGACATGTTTCAAGGCACAGGCCAAGAAGATTTTGTACTTTTCCACCACCTGGCCCCTCTTACCCTCTCCCCTTGTAAAACATGCTATAAAAGAGCATTTCATGTTCAAAAAAAAAAAAAAAAAGAAATACAAATACCAGCAAGGGCACCTTTTAGAGATGCATATTAAATTTTTAAAATTACAATGTCAAAAATATCCAAGAACCCTAACATGTATGTACCCGCTAATCAAGAATATGATTTTCTTTCTTTGTTTTTTGTTTTTTGTTTTTTTTGGTTTTTCTGGTTTTTCGAGACAGGGTTTCTCTGTATAGCCTTTGCTGTCCTAGAACTCACTCTGTAGACCAGGCTGGCCTCGAACTCAGAAATCCGCCTGCCTCCGCCTTCCAAGTGCTGGGATTAAAGGCATGTGCCACCACTGCCCGGCAAGAATATGATTTTCTTCTTCACAAGCTATGCAGAAAATATACTCGGGAGTGGTGTTTTTTAAAATATTTAGAGACAAGATTGTGACATACAGCTGGGCGGTGGTGGCGCACACCTTTAATCTCAGCACTTGGGAGGCAGAGACAGGAGGATTTCTGAGTTCGAGGCCAGCCTGGTCTACCAAGTGAGTTCCAGAACAGCCCGGGCTACACAGAGAAACCCTGTCTCGAAAAAAAAACCAAAAAAAAAAAAAAAAACCAAAAAAAAAAACAAAAAAAAAGATTGTGACATACAGCTTAGGTATGTAAGCTTTGGCCTAGAACTCATGTTACTACTATCTCTGCTTTCCGAGGGGTATGCTTACAGGTAAGTGCCCCCATCCCTAGCTCTGATGCCACTTCATATTCATGAGAATCAAATACTGACCAGGCTATCAGGGTCAAAGTCTTGTGCCAACCTAGGATGCCAAAAAACAAAAAAACCCCAGGTGCTTATTAAAGAGTCTTTGATAATTCTGAAGGTGTTTGTTTTGCAGAAATCAATTAAAATATCTGCCTTGTTGTGACTGCAATTTTCCAGTCAGCTAAATTAACTCGATTTTCTTTACACTACTTTTTAAACTCATGTAAAGAAACATTTTGGATTTCTTTTTCTTTTCAAGCTATCTAAGTACAATGTCATTGTCCTTTCTATTTACATATTATTTTGTAAATAAGGGAAAAAAGTTACTTCTCCAAAGAATTCTCCTTTGTCTTTGAATCCATTTTATGGATTACGACAGCCCCAAAGGTACAGAGAACACTTCTTTAGCACCAGGTAGGTCCCAGTGTTGGGCCATGACCTCATTCTGAAGCAGACTCCCTGGTTGCAGCTGGGTGTATGTATAGGATGTTGTAATCCCCGCAAGCAATACACTGTACCAAACGCCTGGGAGGTGGTGTAGTGACAACAGTGGGCTCCTGATGAGGCTGCCAGTGTGTCCAATGCACACTTCACAGACTCTGCCGCTGAATTGAGCAACGACCCCCGCATGCTCCCTTAAAGTGAACAGTGCCCTGGTAGACTGGCGGCCCTGAATCCCATACCTGGTGCATCACATAGAAGACCAGCCCCACTGCACCGGGCAGGAACAAGGTGGCAGACATTAAACACCGGTCTGAGATGACCAGGATCACCCGAACCCTACTCGAATCACTACATCCCACCCCAACGCTTCTGACCACAAACTCGGAACGGCGCGCGAAGCCCGTCTCCGGGACAAAGGCCACCCGTGGGCTTGCTCTGTCTCCAAGAGCTGGGCTGCTGGTCCTGACTCCAGCCTCGGTGTGGTGCCCTTGGCCGTTGCGGCGCGAAGCACGTACCCACATCTCCCAGGAAGCAGCCATCCCCGGCGCGCGGCTCCATGCGGCTCGCGGGCTGGGCGCCCCTGCCTACGGGCCTTGTGACTCCGAGCGCTGGGACCTGAGCCCGGACCTAAGCTGGGACGTAAGCCGGGACCTGAGCCGGGACCTACCCCGGAGCGCAGGCCGGTGGGCGGGGCCTGACTGCTACCATGGCCACCGCTGGGAGTTGTAGTTTCTGTATCCGCCGCGTGCCACCTGAGCGTCCCCACTCCGCTGTCACCGCCGAAGGGTCACATGCAAAACAGAAGAGTGCAAAATGTGCGTCCGTGTTGACACGTGTGAATATGTCCATTAACAAGTCCTGTGTTTAGAAGAAAAGCTTAAATCCTGATGTCCAATCTAAAAGATAAGTTCGTGTGCAAAATGTACCTAGCTGCCAAAACTGGCCTCCTGTGATTTACACTGATACCACTGAACAAAGCATCCAGTCCCTTCTTCATGCCTTGACTTTCAAGAAGAGCGCTTCACCGAAGATGGTGATCAAAATGCCTGATTCTTCCATTTTTTTCAAAAATAAATCATAACTTTCAAACAGTTGATATTCATTAAAGAAAACCACGTTTCTCAGTGGATAGTTTTAATCCGGTGTCTCACTCAACCAGTTTAACAGAAGGAAGCTGGAACGCCATGAGCGACCTAGCAGAAAGGAGAAACCGGTCTTCCCAGGGGGGTTCCAAGTCAACCAAAAAGTGAGATACTTGGGAGATACTTTCACCTTGACCTGTGCAGAGGCTCAGAGTGGAAACACATTGTGACTCGAACATGAAAAAGTCAGAATCACTGGAAACAGCACTGGAAGTCATCCTTTGAGGTAAGGATCCTTGGATGACGTGAAACTTTATCTGCACCTTGGACCCCAGGTACTGTATTTAGGAGGCCTTGAATGGTATCTGTTGGGAACCCAAACTGCTGGGGGAACCTGGTTAAAAATTCCAAATCTTTTAGTAAAAGTAGTCATATCTTTTTGGCCATTTGTCTATCAAATTTTGGCTCTTGTAGTTTTGTTTTGGTTTTGTTTTGGTTTGTGGGGAGTAGGGAGGGCACATTTTGGTTTCTCTTTGTTATGATGTCTATGTGAGTGTATGTGTGCATGTGTGTTTGCAGGTCGGAGGACACAGTCCTTGTTAGTCCTTCCTTAAGGACCTTCCGATTTGTCTGCAACCGGGTCTCCTGTTCACTCCTGCAAACGGAGGGCCTGTGAGCTTTCAGGGAGCCGTCCACCTCTGCCTCCCGTCTAGGCGCAGGAGTGCTGGGATTGTGAATGACAGCTCACACTGCCCAGCCTTAACTTGAGTTCTGAGGATCCAGGCTCAGGTCCTCTCAGATGACTCAGCAAGCTGCTGCCACGGAGCCATCTCCCAGCTCTTTTGCATGTTTCTTTGCAAGTTTTCTACATTTTTAGGTAGATATAATAGGCTTTTATTTTCACATATTTGCAGTGGAATTCTGTATTCCTTCTTGTCTGTGTGGTATGTCTGCATGTTTATACTTTCTTCGGCGTTTCTTCCATGACACATATTCTGCAAATCCAAATATAGGCTACATTGAACATATATGAATATATACATGTATACTGTACATGCATTGTGTAAATGTTTTGCCACATGTTTCTTAATCATTTGCTTATTACTTGCTTGTAGCGTTTTTCCTTTATTCTGATGCTTGACTTTAGTATTTATTGAAGTGCTTACGTATTCAAAAGTACATTCTCTAAAATTAGCTCTCCTTGTCTTAGGGTTTTATGGCTGAGAACAGGCATCATGATCAAGGCAACTCTTATAAGGACAACATTTCATTGGGGCTGCTCATAGGTTCAAAGCTCCAGTCCATTATCATCAAGGTGGGAGCATGGCAGCATCCAGGCAGGCATGGCACAAGAGGAGTTGAGAGTTCATCATTCTGTTTCAAAGGCAAACAGGAGAAGACTGGCTTTTAGGCAACTAGGATGAGGGTTTTAAAGCCCAAGCCCACAGAGGCACACCTACTCCAACAAGGCCACACCTACTCCAACAAGGCCACACCT